CTCACCTACCATTTTTATTGTTGGTTTCAAGGGGATAAAACCAGATACCATCTTCACATCAACAATCACCATATTGGAGACAGGACGGCTCCCTGTGTAACTACGGTGTCAAAGGGAAAAGGAGTAAGGGCTTTGTATGTGAAAGAAAGCCAGAGTCCCTCCTTCAAGACCTACCATAAACCGGCCTATCTTCTTGAAGTTTTCTGTGACATTACGACTCCTAGAAATCTGTGCTCCCCAGACATGTGTGACACTGATGTTTGGAACCCTGAATGTATATCAGATCTACCGTTTACTAAAATCATAGATGTTTAAGCCCCAGACCCAAACTATCAAATCCGAATCTTTGGGAATGGAGCTTAGTAGTTTGCATTTGTTAACACATGATAGTTTTTGGACACTTCGTCTATGTGTTTGTTATTTAGTAGGTATTACTTTAATATTTTTAATTAACTTGAATGTAGCATGTCTCCCAGAGAGGCTCCAAAGGGTTGTAAGATCGGATAGACTTTTATACTTTTATGCAAATAAGATTTGTTTTATAATATCAATATCATTAGTATTAGTTACATAGTATTCTATTGCTGCTCTGTTTTCTTAGGATTCCTATACGTTTTTGATGGGTTATTATAGGGCAATTTCTATATCTTATATGTAATTTATACTTCTCTTTAATATTAGCATTTGCTATTTATCTGATTAGAAAAATAATAAAATAGAATATAATTATTCAGAAGAGGTAAAGAAGACTTACTTCAACCTAAAGTACAAATCTTTGTGGAAAATAATTTACTCTTCAGTGATGCATTGAACAAAAATTAGTGTAAAAGTAGGGAATTTTTAACATTCGAATAGTCCACACTTTTTATTTGACAGTTTAAGACCAGACTTTGCTTTTAAAGGCTTTGGAAGTATTACTGAAACTTTAAGACAAAAAAAGTTACTAAATAAAAGAATCACTTCATGATGATAGAAGGCTAACTTCATTAGTAGATATAACAGTTTTAAATTATACCCACTTACTAGCATAGCTTCAAAATATATTATTAAATACTGATGGTTCCAAGTAGCTTTTAGACTCAGGATCGCGTGTTTCAGCCACGAGTCTTACCTGACACTCAGTGAGATCTGGAAGCTGGTGTGAGCTTTGGGTCCATCACAAGTTTGGGGTACAGTCTGCACCTTCAGAGTAAATGCGGAGTCCTCCTTCTCTGGAAGAATATTGTATTTCATGGATGCCTGTGGAAGGGCAATGCACCATCAGTTTCTCTGTTTGCCTGGAGCGCCTCACTTTTTCATCATTTCGCGCCTCCAGATTTGCCCTTTCCATGCTCAGAAACGAGAGACCAGGACTCCTCTTTCATTCGGTAAGGTTAAAATTTCCA